AATGAAGTGAATCATTTCGTAAATATTGGATAACATGACTTGATAGTTCTGGCAAATTTCCAAGAAATAATTTTGAGCATGTCATGGGGAAGAAAAGCGATTCATCTCATCATGTTGATGTCTTCTTTTATGCCACAATAAGTCTTTCAAGGTTAAAAACGTTGCACAAGTCACAAGTCATTTGTAAATAATAAATCAGTAAAGCCGATGACAAATTCAGCCCTGTGACATCAAACCACGGTTTCAAAATTCGTAATATAACCGCAAGTTTAAAAAAGTGTTAAATTATCCGATCCGATATCTTAAAATGCAATCCATAATTTAGGACACTAACTCTTTTCGGTTACAACGATTCAATTATTTCCTAATTCACAAAATTATGCCAAATCAGTTAAGAAACGTTTAGAATTAGGCAATGACCAAAAATATCAGCTTGAAAATTGTGTAACATGATTTCTGTTGATCCCCAAACTGTTGTAGTTATATCCGTTGGTTAAAGCCACAATTATTTTGTAAAAAAAAAATCCGTCAAATTTCTTAGCTCAATTTTTTAACAAAATGCTTCATTTCAAACAAATTCTTAAATATTTAGAAATATGTACAATAATTTTATCGAATTACACGATATTGTAAAAGTTTTTTGTTCTTTCTTTTATAATTTATTCTGCCGTATTTTTTGTTCTCATATTATCACATGCAATTTATATTGAATCGTTGGGATTTTCTACTTTTATTTTTTATTGGCATTAGTTATTCCATTGAGCTCATTTATGGTCACTGTAAGTAAAAAAAATAATTAAAAATTAAAAAAAAATTTTTGGATGATAATGTACTAATTAAATATAAATTATCTGATTAGATATTTACAAAGACATTATTACATGGGATTGTTTTTTGTTTTATGAATTTTCTTTTAACGGCTGCTAGTGCAATGTTGGTCTACAATTCTTGCGGTGACAAAAGATGTAGCATTTTATTTAAAAATGTTTATCGAAATGAAGTATTTTTATTAATTGAGCATGTTTTCTTTGAGTGTATTTACCTAATATTGATGGTTCTTTTTTGGTATAAAGGGTAAGAAAGCATATATATTTAAATTATTCCTTTCCCAATAAGACTAATTAGTAACTGTTTTTCCGCCAGACAATGGAAATTTTTCAAAGATATTGGCAGCACAAAAAATATTCAGATCAAATGTAAGTATATAAATTAATATATATATATACACTAATCATAATCTTCATATATTAACGATATCCATTTTAATGTGATATAAGTAATGTACAAAAGATATCATCAATGTCAAGTAGTATTAATCCATGCAAACTTCATAACGGTAACAGCATGGGCATATTGTATGTGGTTGTTTGAAGTATTTAATTTTAAAATAAACTTGTCTTTTTATGATATCAATACTTTTATTTGGGATTTCATAATGATTGATCAATTAATTTATTTAATTGTTTTATTATTTATAATCATTGTGGTAAATATATTTTGAATAATTAATTATGTATTTAAAACAAAAACTTTTTTTAATAATATTTTCATTATTAGGTTATGCGAGAATCAAACCTGATCTATTTGATTCATTTATTAAATTTGTTAGAATGCTTTCTTATAACATATAGAATTTTATTTTATTGCCCTGTTCATATTATAAGAATGAAGGGAAGGATTTTTGTGATAATACTTTTAAATTGTACAATTCTTCAGAATCTCAAATCATCTCAGCTACAGGTAAAATATATTTTTTGTTTATACATATCATTGCAATTATCAATTATATAATTACATTTCTTTTAATATTAGGTTCATTAGCTTTCTTTATGACCTTGGCACAAAGTATCAATCTTATTTTATGTCACAGAAATTTTAGGAATAATCTAGGATTTTATTGTAAGATAAAAAATATATATATATCTAAAATATCATTTGGTACCGTTGATAATTTTTAAAATATCTTAATTTCTAGTAATTTAATATTATCAAATTTTTTAGTGAAGTATAAGGACATTCCACCGGAATATGATTATAATGATGATAATCTTATGAAGCGAAATAAATTCATTTAGCTATGCTTTATTATAATTTTTTGTAATAAAATTTGTGAAACATTGCTTTCTCAAGCTAGATAAATTATTTCAAAACATTATAAATAAAATCTATATATCAACGTTCATATTATCGTAATTTATCAAAATATAAGTTGATAAGGAAAAAAAATGAAATAGAAATAATTTTCACAAAGATTTTTGGCAAAAGTTTTCAAAAAAAATTTGACATCGATTTAATTATATCCTCTCATAAACATATGTATATTGAAAAAAACGCTAATTATGAAGGTTATTGTTATGTTTTTACCATAAATTGCTAATTATTAATTTTTGTGCTTGTAAGAAAACTTACTAACTGTCACGTCTGGCCACCTCTTATACTTCTTATATCGACATAAAATGAACTTGAATAAATTTGAACTATTGCCAAAGTTAAATAAATACTAGTATTAAGAAAATTGTACATTTATTGTCCATCAAATTTATTAATTAAAACGATGCAATGATCGTAATTTGGGTGAGTATCGATCAATTTTAAATTTAACAATAAACGGATTTAGAAAAGGAACAAAATAATAAGAAACAACTAATTCTGCCTTAGCCAACGCTCTTTAGAGAAGAGAATCAATCCTATCGTAAACTAAGAGCAAAACAAAAGCATTTTTATCATAAATTTTTTTTCCCATGACTTTATTACGTTATTCCTATCTTATAATTGCGGTAAATGACGGATGGACAAATTAATAGATCCCTAATGTCAATATTAACATATATTTACCATCATCAACTGGGTTTGAATAGTCAAATAAGTCCGAAAATTTATCCGCAAAATACGTAAATCTATCTTGGGCGCAGTCAAAGATCAAAGGTAACACTATAATGATCATGTACAATTTTTTTCAAAAAAAAATAGAATATTTTTCTACCTAAAAAAAAATACAGTAAGCAATTATATTTTAAGAAGAATTGATAGAATATATATTTGAATACAGAGACTTCACTTGAGAAACCATATAAAAATATACCAGGATCATAAATTCTGTTTTGCATAAAATTGTTCGAGTGTCTAATAAAATTTATAAAATATATATAGGCGTTTTTTGAATCTCCTGTCCAAAACGAATTTGTCAAAATAATCATGAATCAATACCAATAGATATACTTTAAACGCAAAATCGACTTTTTATCTCAAATAACACACCAGATCAGCAAATGCATACCGAGGTTAAATTAACTAAATATAAATTTGAGAAATGCATTGGATGTAAAAAAAGAAGAAAATCTTCTGAAGAAAATTATAAGCTTTGCCAGGCCGGTTATAAATCAAGTACGATATTTAATCCAATTGAAATCATAATTATTGAAGATTTTATTTAATACTTTGATCATAACAATGGAGGAGTTTGTTCCATATGATCAATTCAAAAATATAGAATATATTGTTGAAGGAGGATTTAGTAAAGTATATAAAGCTACTTGGATTGATGGTCCAATAAATGATAGGAAGAATTGGAATAACGAAGAACAAAAATATGTTCGGAATTCTTATATGCAAGTTGCTATTAAAAAACATAACAATTCTAAAACCTTTACTTCTAAGAGTTAAACGAAGTATATATACTGTATATATATTTATTTATTTTTATTTATAATATATACTAAGTTGATAAACTTTTGTTAGCTGAAAATCTCTTATCAAATAAAACAAGAAGCAATTATTATTCGATATTATGGAATTGCAAGATCTATTACTAAAGAATTTGTGATAATTATTTCTTATTGTATTTCCGGAGATCGATCCCATTATATAACCAAAATTTTTTTTAATAATAAAAGGTATAAAAAGTTAATACATTTAAAAGATATTGCATATGACCTATCAGAAATTCATAGAAAAAATATTATCCACTGTGATTTTCATAGTGGAAATATTTTGATATCTGAAGGTAGATATGGCGAATATGCTATAATAGGTGATTTAGGATTAAGTAAACCTGCTACTGAAGCTGCCGATAATGAAAACTATAGCATTATTCATTATATAACCTCAGAAATTCTTCAAGGAAAAAGGTATGCTAAGGCATCAGACATTTATAGTTTTGTTTTCGGTATGATTATGTGGGAGTGTATGACATGTAGAAGACCTTTTTGGGTTCGTGCTCATGATACTGAGCTGATTATTGATATTTATGATGGGTTACGTCCTCCAGTTGGTAACATAGAAGCACCACAAAGATATTTTGAGTTAATTAAAGAATGCTTGAACCCTGATCCAAGTAAAAGGCCAATATCTATCGACATTATGTATAGAAGCAATAAAATTGAAATAAGTAATTCAATTGTAATTATAGACTCATCAGAAATTGGACCTACAATGACAAACAATCCAGACTCTATTTACAAGAGTCGATCTTTGAATGGCATGATAAAATATGCAGAATCATCAAGAAGCTTAAGACATTTCTACAGATTTGGTAATTATTTTATTTATAAGTATTGAAAAATTTGAAAATTTTGTAATGATATTGATTAACCCTATATTTATACAGCTAATAATCAGAAAAGCAATAACTCATTCATTAATGGTAATTATTTAACTTTGAAAATGTTAATTATAGTATAGCTTATATCATGATAACTTATTTTTGTTATTTTAAAAAAAAGATAACGAAATTTTGAAAGTGACCAGTTTGCCGATATAATTTTGTTGTTTTTCGCGTTTTCAGAAAATCTAACTTCAATTAAATCGTTTTATATGATTTTATAGATAAAAAAAGCGATAAAAGAATTAAATTCTTGAAAGAATCTTATAAAACGAGAGAACTAGAATATGATATTTAGTGATTATATGAGTAAAAATATAAAATATGTAATAACGCAATGAAAACGAACAATAAATTATTTTATGATTCTTAATTGTTATTTATATGACGAAGATAGTTCTATACATTATTCTATTGTTATAATTATAAAAATCGTAAACATTCATGATAAAAACCAATTTATTATCTGAGATTTCTACTTACTTATCGGAATAAAAATATAAACGAGTAATGTGACAGACTCCCTTCTCTCTCGCTTTCTTTCTTTAAAAGACAAAATAAGTTACTAAAAGAAAAAAAAAAGTATATATACTTTATATCTTAAAAAAAAGCAAGGCGTCAAAAAGGAATATTCTCGCAGAACTTTGAATGTATCTGATTGAAGACATTAAAAATTGACGATTACTACTGCGCCATAATTTTTAACATAACATTTACCGTTACTATTTATTTCCTATAAGAGATCGAGAAAGTAAATTTATAAAATGAAAATTTAAAATGAATTTATTCGTACTAATTAGATTTTACATATAAAGCTATTACTTTGATATTGAATCTCGTCGTCAATATATTAAATTGTTTTCTGAATAAATATAACGTTAATAAAATTGGTGCAATAATTTTTATTTTTCTTGTTTTGTAAAATAAATTCCGCTCTAAGAGGACAAAATTAATATATTGTTGAGTTTTGAAATGTCTCTACAAGGCAGTGATTGTAGATTACATAGTTATTTACTATTTCGAAATGGCCTTGGCCATTTTAATTTGAAATTTATGATCAAGTTCTTATGTCAGGAATCAAAGATCCTTTGCTGTTGGTTTTCAAAATTTCTTCTTAATTTCATTATTCGAGAATTGACAACGAAAGCAATTCAATTTTCAACAAAAAATATATTATTTTCTTAAACTTATAAAACGCATGAAGACAATATTTAAATAATTTACCTCCCTACAAAATGCACAGAATATTAATTTTTTAACTAATAATTTATAATCATCACTTTTGATTTACCGTGTAGAAAGAGCATGCCTTTATGTTTCATAGTAGACCTTCATAACAACATGTAGACTTTCATGTTTAAATTTATGCAGAAGACACTTCTCAATTGACAACAGTCTCGGCCTGTGCTAAATTTAACAAGATCTATTGATCGATTAAATAATATTTTCTGAATAATGGTTATTTAGTAAGTAGAATTTCAAATTTTCTGCCTTACTTATTTTTTATGACTTACTTCACATTTTATTAAATTATAGTGCAATAATAATAATATTTTTTAGTAGAATATGAAAAGTAGCACATTGAATATTTATTTATTAATGCATATAGAATCCAATTACTGAAGCTAATGCAAATAAAATAACCACTGCATCACTTGAATTTACTCAACCACCCAGTGATGGAATGAATAAATGACAAAATGACTAGAACGAAAAATGATCTAGCGTTTTAAAGAAATTATCTTATAATTCTGGTTAATATTAATATTCTAAGTTTTTTATTCTAATTATGGCTAACATAAATTTTAAATTTTGCCAATCTGTAAATGACTTAAGAACAGGTCATTTAAAGGTCATTTTAAAAAAGTCAAATGACCTGGTAATTTGCCATCACTGTTGGCAATAACGCCGTTATTGCCAATGTTGTTGCAGGCGTAATTGATTCTATTGCCATTATTATAATTGTTGTTTTGTTGCCGTTATTGCTGCCATTATTGTTTCCACGGTTGTTTCCACTGTTATCGTCATTAGCCTCTTTCTAAAAGCCGTTAATTCGGTAAGAATTACTTCGTCAATAAGACCATCTCTTTTAAATGTTATTTAGTGAATGAATCGTTACGAAATTCGTACAATTCGTTACGAATTTCGTTCCTCAAAGGAGAAATAAAATTATATTGCCATAGTTTTTTTATAAATATAAATAAGTGTTATATTCTTCAAAAATAATTAAACCACAATAAATAAACTTACATTTTTCGACTATTTAAATTTAAATTCAATAAAGTAAATATGCTGCATGTAAGTGATACATTGTAATAAATTACGGTGCCAACGGCAATATTACTTTCTTTCTTTTTTATTTTGGCAAAAAAAAAAATGATTTGGAAATAAAATTATAGATTGTCACTTATTTAATAAGTCCCCAATTTATACGATGGCTGAAACACAGCTTGACTAAATTATCATAAAATTTGTTTTTTATAATGTTTGTGGGACCACAATATTTTTTCATCGTTTCATTGCGGCATTAATGCATGTTAAAAGATTTTACGTGATAATTGTGAAAAATAATTGCATATTTAACAAGGACAACCGAAATAGGTTTAATATATATATTCATGCAATTTCTTTATTTATCTTTAAGTTCCTTTATAGGCTTCTTTAATAAGTGCAGTGAAATCTCACTATTCTTGTCATAACTCGAGACGATGAATTCGAATTTGGATTTGATTAACCATTATTTTGATGTGTGACTTTGGATTTGTATCGTCATTTGATCGGCGGTGTATTTGAATTTCTTGTGCTTCAAAAAATAAAAAATAAAGAAGAACCGTTTCAGAAAAATTGAAATTGAATTTTAATAATAAAATAATTTAAGACTTACAAAACATATTCTAATATTTCGAGTTAAATGGGAATTTGCCAATTCTACAATCGGTTTCAAATTTTGATACGTATTCGCAAGAAACAATGTTGTTATAAAAATATTGGCTACACATAGATTTAGGAAATTTACACATGCTTAAAAATAAAGTATATTGAATTAGCCCCTCAACGTATTTCTTATGCATAAACTCACTTACCTCTAAAAGTAGTACTTGCAAAATCAATTTTGAAAAATCGATACTCCAAAAACACATTTATTTTGTTACAACTATCGTTAACCTTTTAAAAGTTTCTATGTTAATACGATGTTGTAATTTTCAATAGAACATAAGGTTATTAAAAAAAGGATGAATTATTTTGGAATGAAGAAAAATGTAGATATAGTATTGTTCTTTAAAGCCCAAATTTAGTAAGTATGTCTTTTGGATTATGAGGGAATAATCATAAATCAATATGGCTCTCATAATGCAGATGTAAATTGAAATATCGGCGAAGACAGAATTAAAATGACCGAAATGGTTACAATAAAAGGACTCGATCAAATATATGTAATCCACTTAATATTTTTCCGTATTTTGTACAAATGATGTCTTGATAAAACTAATTCAATAAAACAAAATGATTTTTTAATATTTCTAATACTAAAGAGGGACGTCAAAAGTCTCCGAACATGAAGTGTGGAAATATGACATGAATTTTTGATTTGTCTATTTCGATTTTAACTCCAGTTATACAAAGTTTATATTAATTTATTAGCATGAGATGAAAGATTCATTTTAGTGTATCGAGTTTTTTAATGAACAAATTAATGAAGATAAATTTATTTTAAGTGAACATTCTAATAATATGTTGTATGTATTATCTCAATATTGTAAAGTTTAGCATCGAAATTTTAAAAAAAAAAAAAATACAAATAAGTAGCATCTCACATCTTATGAAACAAAAATATTTGATCAATTTGTTCTTAACTTCTGATTTTCTAATAAATAAAGTTTATGTGGGATTGAAAATCATTTTTAGTAAATCGGTTCGACTTTCGATTTTGTTTTGGAAACTATACACAGGAATAACATAAGCCGAAACTATTACAAGGGACGATTTTACCTACAACCAATGAAATAAACGATAATTTACGGGAAAAATAAAAAAGTAAATGGACTACAGCCCGAACAATTTAGCTGAAAAAAAAAAAATAAAAATAAGACAAAACTAAAGGGGCGCAAGATTTTTTTATATAAAAGAAGAGAAACCGTTCGATCACTGCGCCTGGACATAACGAGCGAACCCGCAACTTTTTTAAAAAAAGCTAAATAATCTCATCTGATCCGAAGAGGATACAAACACATAAAGCAAATTATATTCATAAGCTTTAATTAAATTTGTTTCTACGCAAAAGAAGTTAAAAAATAATAAATCTTCTACATTTCAGGTACGTTATTCATTTCACTTGCGAATTATTATAAAGAAACGATTAACCAAGTAATAGTATGTTTGATTCGACGGAACGGATCAAGTGATAGATTAATTAGGGAAAGATCCATTTTTCTAAGTGAACTTTCGGTTAGATTACCTTTAGAAAATTCATTTAAACAATTGATCTTACTTTATTATTTATACAATACAAAGATCATCTTGAAATTTTTAATATAACGTATAAATAACTCAAATTACAATTTTAAATAATTTGCTCGCACGAAGCAAAGCTTACAAATGATTTTGCTGATAATCTTCGTTTTGTTCCGACAGATTATAAGAATGTGGAGATGATGTGGAGATGATCTGTGCAGCCATATATAATCATGGCGTTATAATCAATAATGAAGAAAATTTAATACAAAAAAAATTTTTCTGATTTAAAACCTGTTTAGGACCGGTCTTAGGGCTGATCATTCCGATCCAAAGAGAGATGGCCCGACAATATTTAACCCTATAAGCCACTCTAGTTATTTTACAAAATTAAATATTGAACAAAGCCTTTCTACTTAATTTGTTATGCAGATAAATAATATAAAAGAGCAATCTGGCAAGCGACGAACATTAACTTGACTAAAAAAAATGAAGATTATATCTATTTCATTATTTACGACATACATAATAATAAATTTTCCAGGTGTTTTTGCACAGACAGATGATACCTATAATCCATTTAACGATTTTTACTCTATCACGGTCACAGCACTTATACCAGTTGTTATGACGATATTTGATAAAAAGAAGGGAAACAAATATTTTAATTTATTAGATGATATAATCATTATATTTAGCATTTCATTATGCCCTTATATAAATATTATGGCAAATAGTGGCGGGATAGGGAAAATCATATTCATACTTTGTCTTTTTTTTTCATTATTTTATACTCTTATCTTTATTGTATCAAGTATCTGTTACAATATTTATCAGATTCAAGTTAAACTAGTATTTACGATGGGATACATTTCTATAATTTGTTCGTTTATTTCATTACAATTAGTATGTTCTTCTCTTTTACTTTATGGTAGAGATTTTAAATTTGAAACTCGGGATTGTTTAAAAAATCGAGCAGAATGCTTTAAAGGATGTATTGATAAATTTGGATTTTCTGAATGCACATATTTACAAATTTCATCTATTTCTTATTTATATATTAGTTTTATTTTGCTTTTTACTCCAACAATTCTTAATCGTTTTAAACGGTTTCAAGAATTAAAAGTCAAACATGTAGTATTTGCATTTTACTTTGTATTGATCATAAATAATTTTATCGTCTCAGCATGGTTATTTAGCACTAACTTTTATGTCACCCAGGGGGTTGCATCTATCGTCATTATCAGCATGGTACGATTTATAGAAATCACATGTAACGAAGATAAGCCGACCGAAAAGAAACCGATTTCACTGATTGCTTCAATTATTAAAAAAAAATGGAAGCACATAGATCCATTTATTAAACATTTATAAAACTCTATTTTCTTTAAAGAATCGTTATCTCAGAACAAATACAAAGGAATTCCAGTATCTGATTATTTGCATTTTATATAAAATTATTTACATAGCCTAGCTAGTATTAAAACAATGGCGGAATAGATGATAATTAAAATTAGGATAATTTGCAGAGTTAACTTGAATCTCATACATTATTATAATATTTCATATTTGTTAATGATTATATAATGAACTTCTTAACAAAGTATTGGAAATGGTCGCAGCCATTAAATAAATTGAATCTAGAATCATGTGAAGAATAGCTTTGTTATAGGTCGTTCATTCCAACAATAGAAGTGTAAATACTGTAAATCATTAAAACTTGAAATAATAGTTCCAATACATATATAGCAATAATAATAGCCATGTTCATTTCTAATCCGTGTCTGATCCTGTTCCGTTGGTCAAAATATTTACTGAATTTTGATTTGAGAGGATCAGGAATAACGGCTAAACAAATCTAACCAAATGTGGTAAGTCGATCAAATCTATCGCGATTGTATCATCTCAATTTTGCGAAAGAAATTTTTTTCTAAATGTTCTTAATTAATGTATATGTAAATAAATGGACAACGAAAACCACGAAAACCACGAAACTTCAAATTCTAATTCAAATAAAATAAAGAATATAATTCTTCATTACCTTTTAAACCTAACGAGACTTCTTTACCACCTTTACCACAATTAAAATATGCAGTTTCTCAATACCCATATCAATTTAATCAGTTTTTTTCCACCTATCCAAAATACAAGAGTTCCGACTATAAATTCTATTCTTTTACCTTCAGCTCAACAAAAAGATAGTGAACAATTTTATCAATATAATAATATATATAATAATAATAA